CACGACAGACCTCGGGGTATTCGGAGTTACACTAAACGACAGAAAAAGAAAAAAGGATCCATCACTAGGACAGGACATACTTGAAATGGATTACTTGAAGCTACTGCTACTACGCACTGGGGGCGTGTACGAGCCTATCCTGCCGGGAGCCACCTTCACCCTGATCATACCACATCATCGCTGTAAACATCACCACTACGCAACCTTACATCGAAAGAGCTAGCCGAAACAGAGGGCTTCGCTGTACTTGATGATGATGAAGATGACTGCCATTTTCCGCCTATCCCACTCATACCACTCGCCTGACAAATCATGACGATATGGGAGGGCACCACGATGGAACCGTACCGCTCCGCCCGAATACCGGAGACCAGAGGCGCTTCCTGAAGCCGACTGCTGTGCTTGAGCTGCTGCCTCATCCCTCTCCCTCTGCAGCTTGTAATACTCTGTAGTGTACGTGTTGTCCATATCATAACTGATATACCACATTTCCACCACATCACAATCACACCCCCCTCTCCCACTACCATCCCATCAGAATCAACAGGCATTGACTTTATGTCGGCTATGCGCTGGGTCATCAATGCTTCCAACTAGAGAAGCATAGAACACCCCATGGAAGGCCTCAGCCATTTGCTCAGCTTACTCTGTCAGCTGCTGCCTTCATGTCCTTCATCGCCGCCTGCAACCCCTCCTTCTCATTCTTCATCTGTTCAATTCTATCACGTAACACGGCTATCTACCAACACGAATTGACGGAAATGTGGTATAAATACGGCGTTCCAAGCACCTCATCCTGCTTGGTCTTCAACTGCTGTTCAGCCTGCTCAGCCTTGTCCTGAGCTTCTGCTATTTCCCCATTCCTCGCCTCCGCCTTAGCCGCATCTTCCTCGTTCTTAGACTTCACCCTATCGTACTCCTACCAGAACCCCACATCAATCTTCGAAACCTCACTCACCACACCATAAAAATTGTGGCAACATATGCACATGGTCAACTACGTGTGTTTGTGACGCTGTGCAAATTCTGAGAAAATCTCGGAAAATTATCGCTGATTTCTGTACACTTCTACCCCAAGCTCTATATGTGATGAAGAAATGCGAATATATATTCCAACACCGTTTTACGAACCAACAACGATTGAAGAGAACTCCACTACTTTAACATCTGTGGTGCATGCATATTTTCCCACAATACAAGACGTCCTTCCTAACCACTATCCATACCACACCTCACCTTCATCGTCTGCTTATGCGCCGCTACTTCCCGATCAAGATTCCTCTTCTCCTGGTCCGCATGCGCCTTAGCCTCCGCCAACTTACTCTGCTGATCCTCCTTATCCGCTGTAGTACTAGCAAGCGCCTACCCATACCACACTTCCAACAACTCAGCAACCCCAAACCCCCCACCGCTCTCGTCTTATCATGTTCCGCGTGTCCTTTGCAGTAGCAGCCCTAAAGCCATCAGCCTGGCGCTTCAAGTCCTACCAATCACCTCAATGTACCCAACAACAAGGGCCAACACTACTATACCCACATCAATATTCTTTTGCATCGATTCCACCTTCCCAGCTATCTTCCCCCCATTCCTCTGGGCCTGAGCTGTCGCCTTCTGCTCAGCTCCTATCTCCTTCTGAATCTGTCCTATCTCCGTCTTCATATCTGATCACCATACCTCACCCCGCTCAACACTGCCACCCATCACCCCTTCACCCACCCTGTAATTGCTTCTTCAACCCGTCCCGCTCCGCTGTGGCCTCCTTTGTCGACTCCAAAGCAGCTGCCGTCTCCCCCTCCTTCTCCGCAATTGCAGTCTGCGCATCCTTGCCACTCTGCAGTGCCGTTTCCTTTCCTTGCTGCTCTTGCGATAAAACCTAAGGACGCCACCAATGGAACGAAGCCTCAATTCCCACACCAGTTACTACCTGCTTCACTTCATCCAACTCCATAGTAGTCTTATTCAGCTCCTCTGAAGCCGCTGCCGACTTCTTCCTCAAATCGGCAATCCATGCCTGAGTTCTGCCACACACAAACTAGAGTAGCGCGATGACCACCGCGAGGCCACGGGGCCACATGAACGGCCGTTTTATGTTCAATTAACGTTTGAAATGTCACCCATCCATCCCCATCCTACTGCTCCAACTGCTTATTCAAACTACTAGCACTAGCCTCAGCCGCGTCCGCTTCCATCTTCAAGTTTGCAAGCTTAGCCGACTGACAACGAAGGGAATCACGACCTCAACGACTCTATCAATGTTGTAATATATGTAATTTAGTTTCATCGCACTGATTATTGGAGTTTCGCCCGTTTTACGTGAAGTTGGCTTAAAACTCGGTGGAAAAACGCGATATTTGCGGTAAGCAGTAGTCGTGAAATCTGTTCTTTACTAGTGTTTTTCATATCACTAGGGTGAAACTCTCTAGAAGTCTACACACGACTTGGGCAGGAGTTCAAATAAACCAGTGAGAACTCCCCTGAAAATCTTCAAAATTTTCATTTTGTCACCAACACAATGCGTTTAGCATGCGCATATTTTCGCGCACCGGACTCCATCACCGACATTCTTACGATCTCATCCTTCTCCTGCTGAGCCTTCTGAAGTGCCGCCTTCTGCTCCACTACGTCATTATCAACCTCCTCAATCCGTTTGCGCATGCTGGGCAGGTCTGCTGTTTCCTCCTTCAGCTGCTCTATATCCTCCTCAGCTTTCTTCAACTACCATACGGCGCCGCCTACCCTCCACACCTCCAACTCCACATGCCTACATTAGCCTGGAGGTTCGCCGTATTCTGATCCACCTCGTTGAGCTCTTGCTGGAGTTTATCGCGTTCCTCAGTGACGCCAGGCAACGCCTGAAACATGCCTTCCAATGGT